CAGGGCTCCTGACTCTTCTTTCTAGAATATCTCAGCTGCTTCAGTCTTCACCAAAGTGACTTTTAGGGACTAATTCAATTTTATAAGATGGGGGCGGGGTAGCGGGGGTGGTTGGTAAAGACTCTGAAGAGAAAAAGTAAAAAGGAAAAGACAAAAAGATAAAAACGGAGGGGAGATTACAAATCTCAGTGTTCCCTTGGGGTGTTTCCTATCTCTGTCTTTGACACCCCCCAAGCTGGCCTTTCCTCCCCCCTCGCATGGCCTCATTGTGGGTGGCCTCCAAAGGGCATGCAAAGCGCTAGGCCTACTGCTTGGCCCTCTCTGCACCCACTTCCTGGGGCACGTGTCTTCTCACATTACTTTAGCTCCTGTGGCACACAGACACATCTATATCTGGTGCTCTAGTCCTGGATTTCACATTTCTTTCCATAACTGGTTATGGGATATTTCCTTATGTGAACATGCTTAGCTCAGCCGGAAATCAAAATTGGGATTCATCTTTTTTTTTCTTTCTGAAAATCTGAAGTAAAACCTTCATTTCTTCTGTAGTCTCCCCATCCTCCAGAGTCAAACTTTCATGTCACCAGAGGCTGGGGTTGGGGGAGGTAGGAATGGGGAATTGCTGTTTAATGGGTATAGAGTTTCAGTTTGGGAAGATGAAAAAGTTCGGCAGATGGGTGATGATTATGGTTGCATAACAATGTGAATGTACTTAATGCCACTGGATCACTTTAAAAAGTAAAAGTGGTAAATTTTATGTTATATATATTTTACCACAATTTAAAAAACACAAAACAAAAACTCACGTTATCTTTGACCCATGGCTACTATGCTCTCTCCTCCCCAGCTCACCTTGTTACCAGGTCATGCTGATTTTCTACTTAGTTGAGGTTCCTCAAACTTTCACGTCCTCTAGAATCACCAGGGAAACTTGTTAGAGTTATCAGTTTTCGAGCACTACTCCACTCTTTAGTCTGGGAGTTGGGCCTGGAATTTGCATTTATAGAAACCTAATGCAGATCAGCCACACTTGGAGAAATACCCTTTTGCTATCTTTTGATTTTGTCCCTTTGTCTCCTTTCCACCACCCCTCTCCCTGTCCTGGATGCCTCTCATCACCTCACACCTGGATTACAGCAACAGCTGGCCTGCCTTGAGCTAGCGTTTCTCTGCTACAGCCCCTCCAGCTCTCAGGAACCCCCAAGCTGGCCTTTGGGTTCTTTGGCATCACATCACTTTCCTGCTCAGAAGCCTACCATGACTCCCTCAGACTTATTAAATCCTCTCAATTCATTTGGCGGGGATCCAACCCGGTTCACCCCCCATTCTCCCTCTTTCTTCCTTCCGTGTTCACTGCCATCCCTCTAGGCCAGCGGTTCTCAACCTGTGGGTCGCGAACCCTTTGAGGGTCGAACGACCCTTTCACAGGGGTTTCCTAAGACCATCGGAAAACATATATATAATTACATATTGTTTTTGTGATTAATCACTATGCTTTAATTATGTTCAAGTTGTAAAAATGAAATTGGTGGTCACCACAACATGGGGAACTGTATTAAAGGGTCGCGGCATTAGGAAGGTTGAGAACCACTGCTCTAGGCTCATTGGCCATTTTAAATCTTGTCAGCCTCTCTGCTAGTTTGGGGTGGTTTCCTTTCCACCCTTTCCTTCCTACCCCTGGAACACTTACCTAATCCAAGAGGAATTATGAAAACTATTGAGATTTTCCACGCTTTTTCTCAATGCATTTTCTCCATTCCCACAAGTCCTAGTTCTTCTATTAACTAGCAGTATGACTTTGGGCAAATTGTTTCACCTCTCTGTGCCTTGGTATTCTCATTTTCTCCTCTGTAAAATGAGGATCTTAATGGCATATCCTCATAGGTTTGTGGAGAACATTAAAAGAGGCAGTAGATGTAAAAGGGCTTAGAACAGTGTCTGACACAAAGTAAGTGCCATATAACTGTTAGCTATTATTATTAATTATTGTTATTATGGCTTCTTTCAGTCAGCTCTTCTCTGGAAACCACTTCTGTTTGGAATAGCTAACTGATTGAGTTCTCTGTCAAACCTTGCCTGATCTAGGAGAGGTAGTTACATATTATTTGGGTTCCAACAAGCTTCTCTACATGAGACAACCTGAGGAACTGGGCTATCTTCCATGTTCTAATTATGTCCATAAATTTCTTATCAACTAGGAGGAGATGAGGAGAGATTTGAAAGCAAGATTTTCCCTAGATAAGTAGGACGATCTTGGGATAACTTCAAAATACCCTAAAGGACAGTGGGTTGTGTGCCTTCTTTTCTGTGGTCTTTCTAGAGTCCTCCTTACACTCCAGATTCTAGCGGCCCTTCTTCCTCATTTGCTCACTCCCTGGGTTCCTTATCAGACCCCAAGGGATCACCTTCCTCCACAGTAGTTTTAAGCCTGAGAGCCTTGCACCCTGTACTCCAGCAGTCCTTGTCTGTAAATCATCTATTGCCCACATTTCTGTTTTACTTTTCAAATCAACTTCTATGCTTTTGTGGCAAATGTAATACACTCCTTTAAAAGCCCCCACTGGATCCAAAGTTACTGTTTGTCATTATGTGTTTTCTCTCAGTGAATACAAAGTTCAAATACTATCAGGTTGGGGGAGATCTGAAGATACACTGGACATTTAAAACGGGTCCTTGTGGTCACCCAGGCTGGAGACCACTGTCCTGTGGGATACAAGGGTACTGTGGGAGTAGCAGCAAACTCTCTGGATCTTAGTTTTCTTGTCTGTCAAATGGAGGTAAATCATAACTGCCTCTTTTTCTAAGGGCAGGAAACAAAATGTTCCTGTTCATAAGAAGGGGTGTGGAGCGGCGCTCTTGTGATTCTTGTTGACATGCGAGGAGGGCTGCTGTAAGGATCAGATGAGATAATAGATAGGAGGGGACAGGGAGAGGGGGCATGCCCAGGCAGGGGAACATTACTGCTGCTGTTGCTCTTGTTCTTTTCCTTGTTCTGGGTCCAGCTGGACCAGCTAAGCCCAGAAACCGTGAATCTCTTTCCAGGAGCACTGTGTTCTTTTGCCTTTCCCCACCCCTACTTGTTTTTCTGTGGGACGACAAAAAAAAAAAAAAAAAAAAAAAAAAAAAAGAGCTACACAGCAAGAGAGCTGATTCTATATGTGACTAACAAACAGCCACAAAGTTCCTCTTATCTAGTCTAACAACTGCTATAGCCTCCTAAGTGGCAGTGTTTGTCTCTGTTTAGTTGGGGTTGCCTAGGAAACAAAGTTGTTCTCTCTTTCCCACTATGTGACTGTGGGCAAGTTTTTCCCCTTTCTTGTAGGGAAGGGCTGGATCACCAGAGATGGCTGTGTGTTTGCTGGGCCAGTTTCTGAGTTTTTGGGGTTTTTTTTCATCTTTTGGCTTTTATTTTGGCTTTTGTTTTTGAGAGGCCACCAAGCAGGGGTTTGTAAAGTTCTGAAGAAGAGTTTTGGTGATTAGGAATCGAATTTGGGAAGTCTACAGAGGAGCTAAAGAGTCAAAAGCTCCCTCAGCTCATCTTGAAAGGACGGGTTTGGGAGTTAGTGGGGGCTGGGTAGAGTCCAGTCAAGGTTTGGGGTGACTGACTGGTCCAAAGTTTGTATCCATTTTAGCAGCTATGAAATCTGCAAACCATGACCAAATTGTAGACAACAAAGTTAGCCTCATGAACAGAGAGATTAGGAGCAGGTGGTGAAATTGGGATTTGAGAGGCCACCAAGCAGGGGTTTGTAAAGTTCTGAAGAAGAGTTTTGGTGATTAGAACAGAACAGGCCAACATGTATGAGCTTTATAGCAAAGGAAGCATGACATTTTGAATATATTTAGGCTATGATTGACACAAAAGGAGGGGCCCAAGACCTCTTGGTATTTGAGGTTTGTGGTACAGGAAAATCAAGGAGTATGGTCAATTTCAAGTGACAAAGGAATAGGTATATATGCTATAGGGCACTGAGATAGAATGGGTCGATTAAATAGGGGTGATAGCCTCTGCTGAAAACACATTGGGCCTAGAACACAGCGCAGGGTCCTGGTGAGGATGTGGTAGACACCAAATGATCACTGAAAGGCTATCAGAGAAATGGCAGGACTCTGAATGCCAGAGACATGGGGCCGGGGAAAAGGAGATGGGTGAGGATGAACTTCAAAGAGAGTCAGAGGAGGAAAGCTGGAGTCAGGATCCTTAGACTTCGTCCTGCACATGCAACTCATGAGTTGTGAGCAAACTTTCAGCAGTCACAAGTGAAGCAGCAGAGACAAGTGAAGCAGCAGGGACTGAAAGCATCTTTCCTTGGGGGAAAGGATGGGGTTTTGGCTACCACATGCATTGTTTCCTTTTCTAAGGTCCTGTTAGCTCTTCTGCCAATGTCAAGGGTCTCTGTGGATTGGTATTAAGGCAAATGCACTAAATGATCCTGATGTTTTCAGAAGAGGGAAGAAGCTCACTAATGTTTATTTGGTTCCTTTCTTCTTACTCACATGTATAACCTTCCCTTTTCTTTTAGGCCTTTTTGAGATATTCTCGCTCCAGGTTACCTCTCCAGCTGAGGTTGTGTGTTAGTCGTCACCTTGCTACTCACTTTGAAGATGTTATATGAAAGCAGGAGCAGGACAGGGAGGGATGGATGTGGGGTTGAGTCCCAATTTTCCATTAACAGCTGTGGGACTTTGGGCAAGGCACTTAAACTGGCTGAGTCTCAGCTTCCTCATCAATACAATGTGGGTATCATGTTAGTTACACAGGATCATAGGCCTGCCATTTAGGGGATACTCATGATGGTTAGTGAATCAGGAAAACAGTGCTCCCAACCACGAGGGGCCTTTACCACCCACTCCATTTATACTCAGACACCAGGTTTATTTTTAGAAAAAAAAGAGCAAAGTTTATTGAAATTTCAAGCTACATCTGAGAAATCAAAATCCAAATCCTGGAGACATACATCAGGATAAGTTGTCAGAAAGTGGAAAGTATTCACTGCCACAGAACCTCCTAGAGACAAGCTCCCTGAGCACATCACCTAGGCACCATCACATCAAAGCCATTGCCTTGTTCATCCCTTGTCCATGAAAGGACACCAGCAAGCCAACTGTTCTCTTCACTTGAAAGTTTTCCACAAACATTTAAAAAAGTTTTTGAATAACAATATGAAGTCCCAGCTGATCTTTTCTCAACCCCATTCTATGTAGTCAGCACCAGTGAATGGTGGGTTTGGCATTCAAAAGAGGACCTCACACGTCTTCAGAGGACAGACGCGGCAAAGATTGCAGCAGCAAGGCATCTGTGGCCGCATTCAGAGACTGGCCCACTCCCTGCTTTTACTTTTTAGTCTTACTTAACCTAAAGGACAAACTGGATCAATTTGGTAAATGAACATAGTCAAAGAATTAGCCTTAAGAGATAAGGAACTGGTCAATACTCCCAAAGCTGTTTAGGCCCTTCAAAACGTAGGTGTATGTGTATATGTATACATCACTACACTAAGATATAGATCTAGCCCTATGGGTATATATACGCATGTATGGCTATATAGAAAAACTATGCCATTACTAACCAAACAGAACTTTGTAGGCAGTCATCCCAAAGCCGTAATCCCACACTGGGCTGTGCACAAAGCCATGCATTATACCATATTAACCGACAGAAGGCTGACTTGGCTCAATCTCTCCCATCTTTGGCCCTGCTTTGGCGAGGCAGGGGATAAGAGAGAGGGTGCCTCTGCTTCAAACACAAGTGGCTTCTTCATAGGAACAGTCGTTGTCAGGTGAAGCTGTCAAAGATGTCCATGGAAATGAAAAGCAGACCCCCTTATACTTTCAGGAGCAAACTGGCATCACATGTCAAACTACCTTTCTCCTTTGCCAGTCACAGCAAAGTTGCCCGGGCCCTGGGAGCCCCCAAGGGCACGGTGGCATTAGAGGCTCACTGGCTTGGGGTGATGAGGCCCCATGCAACTCAGCCTCCAAAGACCTGCTCTTTGTCAGGGGTCTGTCACTGGAGTGGACCCAGGTGGCCATGTCCTTGGGACATCTCTTGGCACCAGCTATGCTAGGTGTAAAGTTCTCCACGTGAGATGACGCTTGGGGAGCCGAAAACAAACTGGGAAGAACTAGGTAGAGCAATTTTAGTGGCTCTGCCCACCCTGAGGCAGAGCCACTTACACTGCAGAACCATCAGGGGCCTCAGGCGATTGTGAGGTTTCAGGAGCTGGCTCCTCAGGGCTCAGACGGGACTGGAACTTCTCCAGCTGCTCTGGGCTGGCCAGAGTCTTCAAGAGGGTGTTCTCACGCTCCAGCTGGGAGTTTTTCTCCACCAGCTCTCGGATCTGCTCCTTCAGGATCTCCACCTCCTCTCTCACAGCATACATCAGATGATTCTTCACCAGATCCTGTCATAGAGGAAATCACAACAAAGCCATTCGTTAGCCATCAAGGCTCCTCCACAGCACTTTCATCTTGCCATCAAGGTGCCTATGCTGTCTCTTATGCCACCCACCTCCAACCTTCCTTCAGCAACCCCTCAGCATGCTGGCTCCGCAGCCCTATTCTTCTTGCACCCTTCTCCAAAGCACCTAAATGCTTGCTTAGCAGAGCTGCATGGTCAAGGCAACACCTGAGTTGAGAGCCCAGTTTTGAGCTACACAGGATCCCCCCTGCAAGTTTCCAATGTCTTTTAAAGCTGGCCACTTAGGAGCATTTTGGGTGAGAATTCTGCAGGTTGCTGGTGGTTGGCTATATCCCCATTTCCACATAGGTTCCTGCTACTGTCCTAGATCCCAGGGAGGACCTTCAATGTATCCCACACTGTTATTGTTTGTTTGTTTTTTGCTTTATGCATCTTCTCCAAGACAATAAAAGTGGCAATTTTGGAATCTCCTCTCTCCACATGACCCAGCACACTGAATTGCAGTTGTCCAAAAGTCTGGTGTGACAAGACACTTGCCCTGGGAAAAGTACCTGATTGCTGTATCCCAGGGGTGGGCAAACTTTTTGACTCGAGGGCCACAATGGGTTCTTAAACTGGACTGGAGGGCCAGAACAAAAGCATGGATGGAGTGTTTGTGTGAACTAATATAAATTCAAAGTAAACATCATTACATAAAAGGATACGGTCTTTTTTATTTTTAGTTTTATTCATTTCAAACGGGCCGGATCCAGCCCGCGCGCCGTAGTTTGCCCCCGGCTGAGCTAGTCCCACCCACCCACTCCAGCCTTCCCTCTGAGATTCAGGAGCTGTG